CCAGCTGAGCGTCCTGGAGCACGAAACTGGGGTGCAATTCCCCCAAAAGACAACTGGAGCTCCCAGAGAAGCTGGGAGGAAGGTCAGAGGTCAGCACACTTTGGAGTGGATAGGCAAGCAGACAGCAAGGTCTGAGTGAGCTGGACCTCGTGCATCCCTGCCTCTTATCTCTTTATCTGTCAATCAAAGATGCCAATCCTCCCAAGATGCTCCTGTGCCTCCTCCGGGGTTGCCATGGGGATATATGGATATTAAGCTCCATGTGAGGTTTATGGAGGTGTCATAACCTCCCCAGATGGCCTGACATATGCTACAGCACTGCCCCCTACTTCATAAAATGCAGAACAGGGGAGAGCCCTCTTTTAGCCACAGACCACTGTAGGGGGTGCCACTCTGAGTTCTCTCTCCCCTTCTCTTTGGGTGACCCTGAGTCCGCTCAGGAAGGGTGTTTCCCCATGCGGGGCAGCCTGCATTCACACATGAATGTGAGTTTGCATTCTCAGCTTTTAAATAACTCTCGTTCTCACTTTGTGCATTTTCTTCATCTTTTTTAAGATTTATTAATTAATTAATTTGAGAGGCACAGTTACAGAGAAAGAGAGGGAGAGACAGAGAGAGAGAGGTCTTCCATCAGCTAGTTCACTCCCCAGATGGCTCCAACAGCTGCAGCTGAGCCAATCTGAAGCCAGGAGCCAGGAGTTTCTTATGGGTCTCCCATGCAGGTGCAGGGGCCCAAGGACTTGGGCCATCTTCCACTGCTTTTCCAGGCCATAGCAGAGAGCTGGATTGGAAGTGGAGCAGCTGGGACATGAACTGGTGCCTATATGGGATGCTGGCTCCTCAGGCAGAGGCTTTACCGCTGTGCCACAGTGCCGCCCTCTGCCCTTGCTTTTTAGAGAACAGGATAGTTGCCCACCTGGATGGTGCCTGGGTATTTGCCCACCTCCCTGGGTGCCTCCCCCTGACTTTGGAGGACTCTGGAGGCCAGGATCCCATAGGCCCAGAAACAGGTAGAGGTGCTAAGCAACTGGTGAACCAAATGATGTCACAGGGAGATTTTTAAGTAAGACCACAAAGTGTGAAGAATGGACACCCTGGGAACCAGGCTGAGGCGAGGGCTTGGCTGCTAACACTTTTTAGGGGAGTGAATCCCAAGGAAGCTAGAGTGAGGCAGGCAGAGAGAGGGAAGCACCAGGGAGGGCCCGACTGAGCTGATGGCCACTTTGCAGTCAGCGCAGCAGATGGCTCAGGCCCAGGGATGTCTGCAGCGGGGCAGGTGCACCACTGCTGGGTCATAACCCCAAGATGGCTGCCTTGGAGGAAGAAGGGAGAAGAGGAAGAAGGGAGAAGAGTCCATCCAACCCCGTAACACACGCCCACTCCCCGCCAAGCCTCAATTCTTCCTATTGGAAGTCAGGACTGACAGCAGAAGCGGAGTTGAGGAGGAAAGAGCCACATACTCCAAACACTCCACACTAGCCACAGGGCTACAGGGCTGGGGGTCCCTCCTGGGGCAGGCGGAGCTGAAGCCGGTGCCACCAGTGTGCAGCATGTCATGGAAGACACAAGGAAAATGTCTACAATGGTATTCGGGCCACCGATGGATTCAGGCACAGTGGCAGGCTGGTCTGGATCTCCGGGGACAATCCTCTTCCCACCGTACCCAAGCAGGCCCAGGGCCATAGATCACGCCCTGGGCAGTTTCCAGTACCCACACAGCAACTGCACAGACTAAGCCAGGCCCCAGGGGACAGCAGACCTGGCTGGAGGGCCACCAGGTCCTTCTGACTCCCGACGAGGAGGGGACTGCGGGTGACATGGGTAGTCAGTTCTGTCCCCTGTCCCGCCCGGCCAGCCCCTGGATAACCAGCTGGCTCCCAGAGACTCCTCCTAGGTACTTCTGACAGCCCCTTGGGCTGGGCACACATGAGAAGACCCCTTGGGAGCAACCACAAGAAGCTCTGATGGACTCACCCTAAAACAGACACAGCAGTGAAGACCAAACCAGATCACATGTCTCTTCCCAGGTGACTCTGTCACACTCTCTCTGTATATTTCATACGAAGGGTCTTCAGAAAGTTCATGGCAAATGCATGCTATGAAAAAACTATGTGTGGAATTCAATTTTTTAAATTTTTTATTTTAGTTAATTTAATTGAGAGAGGGTGAGAGACATATAGACAGATAGAAAGACAGAGGGGCTCCCATCCACTGTTCACTCCCCAAATGTCCAGAATGGCCAGCCAGTGCAGGACCAAGGCTGAAGCTGGGAGTGAGGAACATTATCAGGTCTCCCACACAGGTGCCAGGAGTCTCGTTACTTGGGCCATCACAAACTGTCTCCCAGGGTTTGCATTAGCAGAAAACCGGGGTCAGGCGCAGGGTCAGGTACTCTGATACCAGACATGAACATTTTTTTTTTTTTTTAGATTTTATTATTTATTTATTTGAGAGGTAGAGTTGCAGACAGAGAGAGGGAGAGACAGAGAAGAGAAGTCTTCCATTCACTGATTCACTCCCCAGATGGCTTCAACAGCTGGAGCTAGGCCAATCTGAAGCCAGGAGCCAGGAGCTTCTTCTAGGTCTCCCACATGGGTGCAGGGGCCCAAGCAGCTGGGTCATCTTCCACTATTTTCCCAAGCCATAGCAGAGAGCTGGATTGTAGTGGAGCAGCTGGAACATGAACTGGTGCCTGGGTGGAATGCTGGTGCCACAGGCGGAAGCTTAACCTACTATCTCACAATGCAGGCCCCCAACAGTACCAGGTATGAATATCTTAACCAGTGTCTTAACCACGAGGCCAAATGCCCATCCCAGATTTAAAGGTGTTGTGTTTTTGTTTTTGTTTTTTTTTGCACCAAACTAGTCTTTGAATTCCATTTTCCACAAACCTCCTTATGCTGCCCCACGTCCCATGCAAGGTGGGGCCGCCGTGTCAGTGGCGCAGCAGAGACCAGTCATTGTGCAAGCCCTCCTGGCCAGCAGCATGCACTGGCTTAGACATTCCTACCGGAACCAGATGGGGGTCCCACGAGCAGAGGTGGACAACACACATTTGTCTTCTTCCAGATCGCAAGCCCTGGTGCCAGCGCCACCCGGGTTAGCTAATCTCACACATGCTGTGCTGTACTTCTGGGTTCTGTGATGAATCACCCCCTCGAACCCTTTACCTACCCCTAAGCCAGTGCCATACTGATTTGATTTTAGGGACTGTGCGGTATGTTCTAGCATCTGGGAAGCTGAATCTTGCTTTGCCTCGTGACTCTTTTTTTGTTTACCTCCTGGCTGCTCTTGGGCCTTTTTTTCTTCCAGATAAACTAAAATTGTTTCATGCAATCTCTCCCCACAAAGCAAAAGGAAAAAAAAAGCCTACTAATCAAAATTGCTTTAAATGGAAAATACCACTCTTAAGTGAATTGAACTGTTGGACAGGTTCCCGTTACCGTTAATGCTTTTCCATTTGCCCAGAGCTTCCTTTATAGGTTTCATTATGACCTGAGAGTTTGTCTGAACTATGTTAGTTGTGTGGCTTTCTTGCGAGGTTTATTTATACAGGTTCCATTGCTAGAGTAAGCCAGAGCTAGAGCTTTGGGCATGTTTAGTTTGGAGGAGCAAAGTCCCCAAACTAACTTCCTCCTGGTTTTTTTTTTTTTTTTTTTTTTTTTTCCTCTTTTGCTAGTGTCTCTGGCTTTCCAGCTATGAAGAGATAAACTCTTTTTAGCTTCGTGTTATGGGAAGTCCTTCCCAGTGCCCGCCCATCCTCATTTCATCAGCTGGAATCCCCAAAGCAGCATTAAGGACCAAAGGTGACACTTGGTGTCTGCGTCTGCTTCCTGGCTTTGATTGACATGGTTCTCCTTTCTCGCCTTCGATGGAGACATTTGCTGGTGATGTTAGTCTAAGAAAAAGTCTTGTTCTAAAACTAACCCACTACACGGTCTGAAACCAGATCCTGAAATCTTGCTTCTTACAAAACAGGCGATGTAAAGTTGTGTGTCGTGGGCAGGCGAGCCAGGGCGCAGGGTCTGGGTAGTGGCGTCCATTGCATCCTGGAGCTGCAGGCCCCGTGCAGGGCACTGACCGCGTCCCCCAAGCCCTACCCCACGCAAAGACCCGCGCCCCTCAGGCCACCAGCCTCTTCCAAATCAGTGCGGGATGGGTGCTCCGTCCTGCAACCCGCAGCCCTGCAGCTGTCCGCTGCTCAGAGGCGGCACTGGGCTTGTGCCGGGGCTTCGGGGCGTCGGGTAAGCCAGGACGGCCCCGCGTGGACCTAGGCTCGGTGTCCCAGGGATCCTCCCAGCCCTACCCTCCAGCAAGCTAAGGACAGCCCTGGGGCCTGCTGGCAGTTGCAAGGTGAGACAGACGCCCCTCCCTGGCTGGAGCCCCAACCTGGCGTCTGATGGTCCCCGGCTACCCATGGGCAGGTGCCCGGGAGCCACACAGGATGACGCAATGACTGTGCCTCCTGAGCCGCAGCGGGGAAGCCTTCCCTACCCGCACCGTGTCCTGTCTCCTCCACCTCCCTTGAGCCCGGGCCTGCACCCTAGCCATAGCATCCAAACATGCCGCAGCTTACACCTACCGCAGCGTGAACGTAGCGAGAGCAAGGTTTGCATAACCCAAGAAAAGGACTGTAGAATGCCATCCACGGGATTGAATAAAGGAAACAGTGAAGGAAAAACAAGGAGAGGCCCATGTCTTGTCAAACAGCAGTAAAATACACACTCGCAACACGCTTCTAAATGGTGGAGAAAGGATTGATTAGTCCGTAAGTGATGTCCTTAAAATTCCAAATAGTTGGTTTGGATACATTTTAAATTTATTTATTTTTTATTTTATTTTTTAGACAGGCAGAGGGACAGTGAGAGAGAGAGACAGAGAGAAAGGGCTTCCTTTGCCGTTGGTTCACCCTCCAATGGCCGCCGCGGCCAGCACGCCGTGGCCGGTGCACCGCGCTGATCTGAAGGCAGGAGCCAGGTGCTTCTCCTGGTCTCCCATGGGGTGCAGGGCCCAAGTACTGGGCCATCCTCCACTGCACTCCCTGGCCACAGCAGAGAGCTGGCCTGGAAGAGGGGCAACCGGGACAGAATCTGGCACCCCAACCAGGACTAGAACCTGGTGTGCTGGCGCCACAAGGCGGAGGATTAGCCTAGTGAGCCGCGGCGCTGGCCGGTTCGGATACATTTTAGAAAGAGATCTCACTTTGACCAAAAATCTCAGATATTAATTTGGAGCAAATATTTAATAGTTTTTTTTAAAGATTTATTTTATTTATTTGAAAGTCAGAGTGACAGAAAGAAATGGAGAGACAGACAAAGGGATCTTGCATCCACTGATTCACTCCCCAAATGGCCACCAGAAACCAGGAGCTAAGAACTGCACCCACGTCTCCCATGTGGATGGCAGGGGCCCAAGCACTTGGGCCATCTTCCTCTGCTTTCCCAGGCGCGTTGGCAGGGAGCTGCATGGGAGGCAGAGCAGCAAGGACTCAAACGGTGCTCCAACTTGGGATGCTGGTGTCACAGATGGCTTAGCCCAGGGCGCCACACCACCAGCCTCTGATAGCTTTTTTCCTAAAGTTGGCCAAAACAGAACAGCAAAAACAACATGAACAAAACCAGCCAAATGATGGGAGGATAATTTTCAGTATCTCCTAGAACTTTCTGAAGCATTTCAACAAGAGCAAAGCCTCATAGAAATTTTTTTTTTTTTTACGTTTGGATAATTTATTCTAACAAAAGTACAAAGGATGAAAATTAGTATATTTGAATAATTTCAGAGAGGAGAGAAAGCTTCAGACCAGCAGATTTTAGTTTTTCACACCTTTGGAAAAAATGTCCAGGGTTAAGACAAGTGGCGGTGCAGGCTTTTGTCTGGGCTCCTGGGTGATGTCCTCGTGTGACTCACGAGGTGCAGTTCATGTAACAGAGCAGCCATTTGCTTTACTTCTCTACATTTTGAGAATTTCACAAAATATCACTTTTTTAAAAAAATATGTATTTATTTGAGAAACAAAGTTACAGACAAAAAAAGAGAGAGAGAGGTCTTTCATCCTCTGGTTCACTCCCCAAATGGCTGCAGTGGGCGGAGCTGGGCAGATCCGAAGCCAGGAGCCAGGAGCTTCTTCTGGGTCTCCCATGTGGGTGCAGGGCCCAAGGACTTCAGTCATCTTCTGCTGCTTTCCCAGGCCGTAGCAGAGAGCTGGATCAGAAGTGGAGCAGCCGGGACTTGAAACGGCTCCCATACGGGATGCCGGCATCCCAGACGGCGGCAACTATGCCACAGTACCAGCCCCAACAAAACACACAGTTAGAGAGACCCAAAAAGGTGTTCACTGAATGCACAGTCAGCGATAAGAAGACAGGACAGAAGCTGTGAGACAAGAGGAGAAAGGCCCCGGCAGGCTGATGACCTCCTGTGAACAGCCTTCCGTCTTGGTTCTCCTATCAGATGGGGCAGCTCCCATCCTAGGGCTGCCCCAGAAGCAGAAACTCGCTGTGTGGAGCCCAGCTCCATCCTCTGCGTGTTTCCACCAGTCACAGTGTGTCAAGACGGGTTTCCCGGTGTGGTGAATTGGCTGCAGCTTTGTTCTGTGTTGATGGTCTGCTGGCTTGCTGGGTTGTACAGGTGCCACCACCAATGACACTCCCTGTGCTCAGTTCATCAACAGCAGAGACGGTCTCCTTGGCAGCCTGGTAGTCTCCCATCTTCATAACCAATTGTAAGCGTACCATCAGCGGCAATAAGTACATTCCCAGTGGTAGGCACCCATCATCCCCATCCATCTCCAGGACTTCTAAAAACTGAAACCCTGTGTCCCTTAAATAACAACTTCTTATTCCCTCTCTCTGCAGTCCCCAGGGCCTCCCATGCTACTTTCTACTTCTATGAATTTGCCTATTCTATCTTTTCCATATCAGTGAAGTCACGTAATGTTTGTCTTTCGGGTTTTGTTGATTTTCTGTAGGGTGTCCATCCTCCCGTTTATTTGTCTTTGTCCTAACCTTTCTTGCTTGCTCCCTTCTACTAGCTTTGGGTTAATTTGTTCTTTCCTTCTGGTTCCTGAAGCTGTAAAGTTAGGTTGTTGGCTTGAGATCTTTCTTCTTTTCAATATAAGCACTTTCAGGAGTAAATTTCTCTCTTGGGAGTGCTTTTGCTATATCCCCTAGAGTGATGTCTGCCTTTTTATTTCATTCGTCTCAAGGTATTGTCTAACTTCCCTTTTGATGTCTTCTTTGAACTATTGGTTATTTAAGAGTAGGCGGCCAGCGCTGCAGCTCAATAGGCTAATCCTCTGCCTGCGGCGCCGGCACCCCAGGTTCTAGTCCCAGTTGGGGCATCGGATTCTGTCTCGGTCGCTCCTCTTCCTGTCCAGCTCTCTGCTGTAGCCCAAGTCCTTGGGCCCTGCAACTTCATGGGAGACCAGGAGAAGCACCTGGCTCCTGGCTTCAGATTGGCGCAGTGCGCCAGCTGCAGCGGCCATTGGGAGGTGAACCAACAGAAAAAGGAAGACCTTTCTCTCTGTCTCTCTCTCACTGTCCACTCTGCCTGTCAAAACACACACACACACACACACACACACACTCACAAACAAAACAAAAACAAAAACAAAAAAACATCAAAGAGTAGGTTGTTTAGTTTTCACGTAGTTGTGGACTTTCCAGTTTTCCTTCTACTATTGATTTCATTCTATTGTTATCGGAAAAGATACACTGTGTGATTTTAATCTTTAAAAAATGTGTGAGTACTGGGGCTGATGCTGTAGCATAGGGGGCTAAGCCTCCGCCTGCAGTGCTGGCATCCCATATGGGTGCCTATTCGTGTCCTGGCTGCTCCACTTCCAATCTAGCTCTCTGCTATGGCCTGGGAAAGCAGCAGAAGATGGCCCAAGTGCTTGGGCCCCTGCACCAGCATAGGAGACCTAGAGGAAGCTCCTGGCTCCTGGCTTCAGATTGGCCCAGCTCTGGCCTTTGTTGCCAGTTGGGGAGTGAACCAATGGACGGAAGACCTCTCTGGGTGTCTCTCCCTCTCTCTGTCTGTAACTCTACCTCTCAAATAAATAAATACAATCTTTAAAAAAAATCACCAAGGGAAATTCAGAACATGCATGATTAAAAGAACTAGAACGTCCAAGCCCACAGCCTTTGGGAGGAGAGCCGGTGGCACAATTTCCTGTGTGCACTGACTGCATCAAGATGGAGCTGGTGCAGATGAGCAGGCGGCTGTGTGAGAAGGAGCAGGAGTCCTAGCCGAAGAAACTCAAGACCCAGAGAGAAGCAAAGAAATCCTCCTCCTTCCTGTCTTAGCTCATGTAATAAAACTGTGTGTTCATTTAGAAGAAAAAATGTCCCCTGGCATAAGGTGGAGGAAGGAAACCAGAGTGTTCAGGACTCAGGACCCCAGAACAGAGCTGCCAGGGCCTTGCCATGCATCGGCCCTTCGCTGCAGGTGCCACAGTGTGAAAACCTGGATGAATATCCTCCCATCGGGGTCTTGGAGGGGACGCCCCGGAGCTCTGCCTGCGCTCCGTGGCCTGCGCTGTCTGGCTGGGGGTGTCGGGGGAGATGATGCAATGCAACGTGCTGCTGATCTGAAGGTGGCAGAGGCCAGGTAGTGGGCACATGATCACCAGGCACAAAACAGAAAAGACAGGGGCCAGTGCTGTAGTGCAGCAGGTTAAGCCACTGCCTGTGAAGCCAACATTCCTTATAGGAGCACCAGTTCAAGTCCCAGCTGCTCCACTTCGGATCCAGCTCCCTGCTAAGGTGCTTAGGGAAGCAGTGGAAGATGACCCAAGCACTTGGGTTCCTGCCACCCATGTGTGAGACCCCCATGGAGTTCCTGGCTCCTGGCTTTGGCCTGGCCCAGTCCCAACCATTGAGGCCACTTGAGGGAATGAGCCAGTAGGTAAAAGATTGGTCTTTCTCTTTTCCTCCCCCTCTTTCTCTCTCTGTTACCCTGCCTTTCAAACAAGCAAACAAATAAATATTTACTTATTTTAAAAATGTAAAAGGAGGCCGGCGCTGTGGTGCAATGGGTTAAAGCCCTGGCCTGAAGCTCTGGCATCCTATCTGGGTGCCGGTTCTAGTCCCAGCTGCTCCACTTCCAATCCAGCTCTCTGCTATGGCCTGGGATAGCAGTGGAAGATGGCCTAAGTGCTTGGGCCCCTGCACACATATGTGAGACCAGGAAGAAGCTCCTGGCTTCAGATGGGCGCAGCTCCGGCTGTTGCGGCCATCTGGGGAGTGAACTAGCGGATAGGAGACCTCTCTATCTCTACTTCTCTCTCTAACTCTGTCTTTCAAATAAGTAAAATAAATCTTTGAAAAAAAATGTAAAAGACAGCAATAACAGTGGGGCAATCGGTAATCAGAAATTTCTGTCCCCAGAGATTATCTGGATAAAGTTCATCGATCACGTCCCTACAAACAAGGTGGATGATTAATGTTTAACTTATATATCAAGACAGATTAGCTATGCTCCAGTCACCAAAAACTACCCCACCTTAGTGGCTTAGCACAGGAAAAATCTGTTCCTCACTCAGAAAGCTCAGCCCTATGGAGGGTTAGCTATGAGTTCCTCGCCATGCCTGGAAGAAGAGAGAACCAGAATATTTGGAGAGCAAGGACTGGATGCAAACTCCTCTTGAGCTAGAGACCTATGACCTAAACAGAAAAATTACAGCTCCAACACACAGTGGTGGGACGGAGACAGGTTAACCGCAGGATAACCTCATCCAAAAGGAAGGAAGAGAGATTGTGAGGATGGTTATATTGCCAATTTCACAGTTATTGGTATGGTTCTATGCCACCCACATTGGCCTTTGGAAGGAGAGCCGGTTGCACAATTTCCTCTGCCTCTCTGTAACTGTGCCTTTTAAATAATGGCCTTGCACATTCTGTATGCCTTTTCAATTCCCTTCCATTTATGCATGCACATAAATTAACTTAGGGGTTTTTTTAATATTGTATTTATTTACTTGATACATAGACACAGTCAGAGAGAGAGACAGAGAGAGAGGTCTTCCATCCGCTGGTTCACTCCCCAAATGGCCACAACAACCAGAGCTGAGCCGATCAGAAGCCAGGAGCTGGGAGCTTCCTCCAGGTCTCCCACGTGGGTGCAGGGGCCCAAGTACTTGGGTCATCTACTGCTTTCCCAGGCCATAGCAGAGAGCTGGATTGGAAGAGGAGCTGCTGGGAGTAGAACTGGCACCCATGTGGGATGCCAGCACTGCAGGCGGAGGCTTAGCCCACTGTGCCACAGCCCCAGCCCCAAAATTAGCATTGTTTTAATACCTCACAATAGAGATTATTATTCAATAAGTTTTGGGGAGTGTGGACAACAAACTACATTGAACCATGGCACTGACTTGTTAATTTACTCACATTTTAAAACGCATATTACACAAAGTAATATGAGTATTTCATATATACATTTTTTTTTCTTTCCACCCTTTCTGAAAAATTTTATTTCTAAAACCTGTAGGTGACCGGTGCCATGGCTCAATAAGCTAATCCTCTGCCAAGCGGCGCCGGCACACCAGGTTCTAGTCCCGGTTGGGGCGCCAGAT